AGCTGACTTCCTTCCGTCGTGGAGCGTCAAGCATAGTTGCCTAACGCCTCGGAATCGGTTAGGGGCATCTATGGCTTCTCGAAGCCTTAATGGTCGTTTCCACGACCAGCAAGCCCGGCTGGCATATACGTTCCGTGTTTAAGAGCACAGAGCTTTTCGAAGCTGGACCCTGCCGACCTATACCTTCCTGAGGCTCAACAGAACTCAGTTCCTTCCCAGTAGGTCGCGCCGCGCCTACTGGATGGTGTCGTTTCCCCGCGACGAACCAGACTGGAAGGAATCGGGGCGATGGATTGAAGAACCTTGGCGCGCCTTGAGCCGGGGGCAACCGTTCCGAAGGTGACGGGTGTCTCCACAGACAAAACACCGTTGCGTGTTTGTGTGCTGATCGGCAGCTCGGAGCTCTGCTCTCTCGTCCTCAATATAGCTGATATCCATGGTCACAGTCCCGCTCGACGAGTTGTTAAAGTGTGCATTCCAACCAAGTCGTGCCAGCGTGAAGTGCCAGTGCGGAGGCCCTCCATAAAGACGGTCACTGTGACCGCCTCAGGAAGGGGATCTGGTGCCAACCCAGCAGTGAGAGTACGCATCTCTTGGACATAGTCCATCAATTTCTTGTCGCCCTGTCGGGCGGTGATAACACTCGTGAGAGCTGTAATTTCAGCCTCGCCGAGGGAGGAAACGCAGCTTCGACCGAGGTGCCGCACGTCAGTGCCCATTCTCACGCTCGACCACCGAGCTTTGATATGGCTAGCACCACGCGCTACTACTTGGTCTGGAGCATGGCGGAGGCGATGGCCATCTCGACCTCTCTCACCCATAACAGGAAATTTTCTCCATTATCCCCCTCGAAGACCTTGACGCTCACCATGAGCAGCTTAAATCGGGGGAAGTCTTTTGTCAACGACGGCGGCGTCATAGCCGCATATAATGCAGACATCTTCTGCTGCAGGCGCTGTAGCTGCGTGCTTTCTTTCTTTGAAAACACCTCTAGACGCGCACCGATTGTCTCAGGGCCTTGCGCAGCAAGGTGTCGCAGGCCCTCAGGGCCAAGCAAGGACATCAGCTTTCTAAGCTTGCCCTGCATGCCCTGGGGCAAAGAGGAAAATTGTGTTATCCTCACAGAGGATCAGTCGTAACAACTCAAATGTAGATTTGATACAAGTGTTACCAAGTGCAGTGGAACTGCCGTAGCTTTGCGCTTAAAGGAAGCGTAAGTTAGGTCACCGACCTTTCATTCTACACTTAGAACAAGTACGAGTTTAGCGGATCGCAATTCGCTTACTCCGAGAGTAATAACAACCTCAACCCAAGGCTAATGAGCTCCTCCGTTTAAATTTAAAAACTGACTATATTTATTTTAATCTGCGGCAAAGCCGCCTAACTTTAAATGAATAGATTTCCCTAAATATGTATATTCTAAATACATGTATAACTACTGGCTATCCAGCCCTGTATCGTAATCTTGTTTGGGTGTGGTCAAACCATGCCTATCTGGTGTGGCACACACACCTGTGACCAGAGTATTGTAACCCCGTTACAAACGGAATGTTGTATTAATGAAAAATCTGATTAAAACAATTTATAGTATAAGCTATACGTCTTTGTAAAGACGAGCAAAATGCTGCTTATAAGGGAAATGAGGCTTTGCAAAGGATAGATCCACAGAACACGTTGGCGGTTAGCGTCACGTCATGCGGTGGTCTTGTTTTCTTTCTGGCTCAAATCTATATTTTATATATTCAGTCGTAATTTGACCAAGATATAAATGTATGATTTAGTCCTGAAAGACGAGGACAAATGTAGTAACTAGGCTCGCTAGCAGCCGTCAACTCTATTTGCTGAGTGGAGCATACGAACCTCTCGTGCATTGATTCAGGCAAGCGATTTAAGTTACAGCATTCACTGTACAAAGTAGGCATTGACTTTGTTGCACTTAGTAGCACTGATATTAGATCGTCTTTTGGAGGATGGAACACAAGTTGTACAAATATTTATCCCCGGAACAACACTACACACGTAGCCAGCTCATATTCTTCCCCCATTCAAGAGAAAAAGACGATTGTTGACCCCAATGCTGAAAGTGGTATTTGCTCACCCAAAAGCATCCATCTATAGGTTTGCGTGAGTGGAATACCTCTGGAAATTTTGAGCTATACGATGGGATAATACGCAAAGATCCAATCTTTAAGTTGCATATGATAGTCGTCCAGACCTATCATGCCAAAGTCTGAAATTTCTTTATTTGGTCGAGAGAAGTTGAGATGGCCATGATATAATTGAAACAACAAAGCGTCGTGGAACTAGAAGGATGTGCGCAAAAATGGCATTCATATGCTGCATCTTGACGATCAATATGGAATGCGTTGAAGTAAGAGATGTCGCGGGTGTCGCAACGACTACGCACACATTCCTTAGGCACCCACCCGAACCCTTTCAAGAATGCACTGAGCTTTACATTAGATACAGAGCATAATATTCGTGGAGCGAGGGTCTAGCGAAGAACAAAAGGCGACAGCGTGCCAGATGCAATGGACATCATCCACGCCGCGGGTATGAGAGTGATCTCTCAGCTGCTAGGCAACACAGTCGTTTTTTAGATTACAAATCTGTGATGTCTTAAGCACCTGTGCATTGTTTGCCCATCTATATCGGCTAATTTGTATGAAGGGCCGAGCATCGCTCGACGTTTCCCTTACGGCGAGAATTGATTTCTCAGGAAGCGCATGGCAGCCTACTGGTACACAAATTGGATGCTATCATTCGTCGCGAAGGTCAAGCGCAATGATATCCCACTCTTAAACGAGCGTCATTTCTATAAGAAGGTTAACCTAGCAGCTTAGGATTGTTGACGGTCAACATCAGCGTCTCCTACTTTCTTGAATCTATAAAAAGTTTTTTAAAATTTGAGATCGTGTTTTACGTATACAATAGAAAAAAATATTTATGAACGATATCAAATACAAATTCGGTATCCATTTTTTGCGATTGGAAACAAAAAAGTGCTGATAATACGTTTGGACTTTTAACATACTTTATCTCGAGCCTGTGTTCGAATTGATCATATACATGTCCTGAGTCATAGACTGAGAGGAGGTCGCAAAGATTGGGCGCCATGCGCTTTTTTCTAGCAGAACTTAGGTGCATCATGAAGCCACATTTGCTAAAAAGCAAAAGAGTTTGACGCGGGCATAAAACCTCGATTCCTTCATTGCAGGACACTGTGTCGTAATATATTTTGAGCAACGACATTGCTGAATCTCTTGAGAAAAGCTTGGAAGATTCGAGTGGCATTGACCCCAGCATCAAGATGAAACGGGCAACAGCAATCGCTTATTGCGAAATATCAACGAGCATTTGCTTAGTCCAGAGTAGGCAACTGTATTTCGTGATCGCCGGAGTGTATTTCTGGCGGCAAGGTTAATAAGAGCTGCAAAATGAAACTTGGCGTGCTATAGCTGTTGTATACAAATAGCGAGACTGCGTGTTGCAATCGTCTCAGCCACTGTCGTTTGAGAGGAGACCATAATTCACATGCAAAACCACCCGCTCCAAATTTTTACATGGGTGGTCTATTATTGTAACGGATGGCGGCACTATTTAACTAGCACTACCACGAGAATCATCTACGTACGAAGCTGTGGTATTTTTGAAGTTCGTGGCGAATAGCTTATTCACTTCCGGCTGCAGATATCCAGGTCGGTCAAGGGGCTTTAAGTCTACACTCAGCACCTGAGATAAAGCTTTCATTGATGTAGAACGGTTATATCTAAAATTCATCTGGTAGTTGACCAGATGAATTTTAGATATAACCGTTCTACGTGACACACATAATACTGACAAGGAATCTGAGCTCATCACTCGTCATAGATAGATTCGTCTTCACAAAGCGCTGTCGGCGAGAAGTAGAGCAGCTATTCTACAGCATCCGTCGAATACTGTTCAATCTTTCTAGAGAAGGTACCACGACTTGACCACAAGAGTCCCATCCGCGCACTTACCCGAATAGGTAAGCACGTCATGAAATTGAACCGGGCCTTGAAATATTTCAATGCGTGCTACGTGAATGAGTCGTGTCATAGGATTATTGAGCTGTCGAAACACTTATACGAAGCGCGAAGCGACTTTGGTCTGGGTTTCGACTGCCCAGCGCCAACTTTCTGTGTTACTAAGGCTGACGGCAAGTGACAAAATTGTAAATTCTTATCGTAAGCCAAATTCAGCACCACTTTGGCCGACGCACCGGCTGCTATAAGGAACATGCTGCAGAACAGCTTAATTGGTTAGGTGCTGTCGTGCTGTTCATGCAACTAGGTTACACGTACCCTGATATGAAGGATTGGGTCACACAAGATGGTGTGACCATACAATGGTGTGACTACACCTTAACATGAAGTCAGTACGTGGTTGAACTGCCAGTGGTTATTCATTCTGGTTAAATTTTACAATTTAGGGGAACCTATAGATTGAGATATAGGCGGTTTGCCGCAGAATAAAATATACAGCTGAATGGAAGAGTTTATTTGCCTTTGGTTAAGGTTGTGGTTACTTTTGGAGTAAGCGGATTCGTATCCGCTACACTCGTACTGGTTCTTAGTACAGAGCGAAGATCACCGACATTAGCTTAGCTTGATCTAAGCGATAGAGCTACAGCAGCCCTGCTGCAGTTTACCTAACCGATGATAAACTATCCGTGAGATACATCGCACTGCGGTGGATAACGCAGCTCAATTTAATAAACTTACAGGAGCCAGCGAGCAAGGATCCGGAGTCGATAGCTTTGGTCATTTTCGAATTCGAAGAAGATATAAGCTAAAAAACACACGGTCCGTCACTTTATTGTATGAGGGCGACGTTGGATTGATATATTGTGATCAGGAGCTTAGTCCTTGTTGAACGACATAGATTATGCCTTCCCTACATTTTATTATCCTATATTCCATCCTTTTAGAAAATTAGTACAAAAAGGTGGTGCGCTGCTAAAACAAATACTTTTTCGAATGTCAAACGAAGACGGAACTGGTGCCCAGTTCGAGCATTTGGCACCACAGTACGAAGCAGCGTTCGCCCGCTTTCTACGTCGTGACTATAATATAAGCATTCAGCAGCTACATCGACGTCTGAACAATGTATCGTCTTCTACTTTTTCTCCCAATGAAGCCGCTGAGGCATTCGCTTACAGCCAGCACGTATGTGCACAGCGACTGCTCGATTTTGATGCACAGCTTGGAATGTTACTGTTCCGCCACCCGGAACAGATTTTACCACTGTTTAATAATGCATTGGCACAGGAAGTAAGTCGCAACGCTGGTGAGCCCCTTGCAGGAGGTGGACTACCGTCTATTCCGCTTAAAGCACGACGGAAACTTAAAGTGCGTGTCGAAAATTTGCCACCAGTACCACCGTTGCGCAAAACTACAATCAGCACGATCCGGTCCAACGATGTAAAGCAATTGATTCAGATTGCAGGCACTGTTGTGCGTACAGGAATGGTGCGTTCAGTATATTATGTCACTGAGAGAAAGCAAGGCTTATTTTGATTGTATAGATTAAAATGCAAGAAACGGAAAGAGAGTATCAGTGCTGCAGTGCGAGGTGTGGGTATAGATTCTTGGTGAGATCTGACCCGGAGCAAGGCAATATATTGGAGATCCCGGTATGTTTATTAACAGAGAATGCTGAAAATATATTTTAATGGTGGTAACACTACAGAAAGTCTGTCCATCGGATAATACAGGAGACCCAAGTAGTGGTGGCAAAAAGCCGTGCAAATCAGTTCAATTCATGCCAATAAAAAGCGCAGAGAATACTGTCGTGTCGGATCACCAGGTTATCAAAATTCAGGAACAGGCGTCAAAATTGGGCGTTGGGTCTATTCCTCGCTCGATTTTAGTAGTTTTAGAAGATGATTTGGTTGATTCAGTAAAAGCTGGTGATCATGTCATCGTAGTGGGAATTCTCATGCGGATGTGGAAACCATGTGTGAAAGGTATCCGTTGCGACCTTGAGACGACAATTAAAGCGAATAGCATTCGCATTAAAAATGCAACAGCACCGCAAGTTTTGGTCACAGAAGAACTGCGAGCCGAGTTCACGCAATTCTGGAGTAAACACAAGCACGACGCTATACGGGGACGCAATGAGATTGTTGCCAGTATTTGTCCAAAGGTCTATGGATTGTTTATCGTGAAGTTGGCTGTAGCCCTTACAGTTATTGGTGGCATCTCATCGGTGGATAATAGTGGCATGAAGACTCGAGGAGAGCCACATCTGCTATTGATTGGTGATCCAGGCACGGGAAAGTCACAGTTTCTTCGATTTACTGCTGAGCTGAGTCCGCGATCCGTGCTCACAACCGGAATTGGCACTACAAGTGCTGGTTTGACCTGCACAGCCGTCAAAGATGGTGGAGAGTGGATGCTAGAGGCAGGTGCACTAGTTCTGGCAGATCGTGGTGTGTGTTGCATTGATGAATTCAGTAGTATTCGCAGTAATGATCGAACATCCATTCACGAAGCGATGGAACAACAGACACTTAGCGTAGCCAAGGCTGGACTTGTGTGTAAGCTTAATGCACGGACCACAATCTTTGCAGTGACGAATCCAAAAGGACGGTTCGACCCTACTATGGATATTTCGGTGAACACGAGCATTGCCAGTCCGCTGCTTAGTCGATTTGATCTCGTCCTTGTGCTGCTAGACCGAAGAAATACGCGCTGGGATCACGTCGTATCATCTTTTATTATCAAACAGGCGGTTGGAACAACAACGAGTATGAAACAAGAGGCTGAACATGATGAAAGCAAAGATTCTTTAAATAAAACCGATGCGCAGGAGGTGATAATGTTGACAGACGAATGTGCGCTTTGGAGCGTTTCAAAGCTTCAGGCATACGTCTGCTATGTCAAGGACAAGTACAAGCCTGAATTGAGTCGTGGAGCGATGACTATTCTACAACGTTATTACCAGAAGCAGCGCGCATCGGACAGTCGAAGTGCCGCACGCACGACTATTCGACTTTTGGAAAGCCTTACGCGATTGGCGCAAGCTCACGCAAGACTCATGTGTCACTCGGAAGTTCGTGTTATGGATGCAGTTGTGGCGGTATTCGTAATGGAAGTGAGCAAATCCACGGATAATTCCTCTGAGTTGCTTGAAGGGGGTGTGGAATCTGTCATGCATTCCTCTTTCTCGGAAAACCCATCGGAAGAATACGCACTGCAGGAAAAGCTTGTGCTCGATTACCTCACGTTGCCTGAGCTCAGTACTGCAAAATCAATCAATCTGTCCAAGTCATCAGGTACAGTTGACTTTGTCAGCGAATTTTCTTCTGGAGAATATGAACACAGTGACGTTGTAAGATCCAGGGACTCAATCGTTTGCAACGGAAGTATGCAAGATGCGCATAACGGGAAAAGAGCGAGAATTAGTCAGCACATTTTACGAGAGAGCGATTCACAACGCAACCAACGAAACGAAGAGTCTTTATGTCGGAGTCGACAACAGAATTCTATGCCGTTGTACCTCTCTAACCGCAACCTTCACAATGAAGATGAAAATATTATGGACGAATACCGTCGAAGCTATCAAGATAGTCAGTACACTGAAGAAAAGCCTCGCGTACTTGCACATCCGCGCTTTGATTTTGGACGGTGGAGTCAACAGGCAAAGGCGAGTCAATCGATTATCAGCAAGTGGAAGTAGCGATATTCCCACATCTTTCAAACGTGGATAAGCGAGTACAGTAAGTGCACATTTTTTCGATTTTCGAAGTCCAGTATAACATTCATGATACCGTCGTCCAGACTATCGAGTTTGTCGATCTTTAATCAAAACACGAGCACGTTTAAGATACTTCGAATCGAATGAAGGCTTTTAATACATACCGCCTGGCACAATTCTAGTGCTAACGAGCCACCAACTTTGGCGTGTTCCGGCGTGTCCTTTGTATCGAGACACAGCAGATGCAGCGGCCTCCATGCCAAGGAAAAGTCTCTTCCAGACCAGTCCCGCATTCGAAAGTTTGGCTGGGCCACCCCGCGTAGCTGTAGATCTTCAAGTACAATCTCAAAAATCCGGTCATCAAAACATAGCACCACGTCAAGTTCCTGAAGCTCTTTGACGCTAAGGTCCTGCCAGCGCTGTGGACACTTTTTCGTGAGCATATCTCGCTCTAACATGGATAGCACGCCATTGCGATTGAATCTAATTATTATATAGTTATGTTATTCAATTCATGTCTTCATATAACAATTTAATTGGGCATTCACTGACAAATCGGGGTTCTCGGCTTTGAGCTCGCGGTACATCGTCTCATAAGGCGTAAAAAACTCGTAGATGCGCGGATCGTCGCGCGACGGTCCCGGAAAACGAACGCGATTGCCAGCACCGAATGAACACACGCGCAATCCTGCAGCTTGTAGATGATCATGTGCCTCCGTGCTGCGGTTTACATTATTAGCGCACAGCATAGCGAACATCGGGCGAGTCATGATAATACGATATTGTGACAAGTTTAAATTTGATATTAGATGTTTGAGATTATATTTAGTATAATCTCAGTGTATTTCAGACTTTTGATAATCTTTCGTAAAGTAGAGCGACGAAATACCAATGCCATGCCAATAATTAATTGCCGATTTGAACATCGGCAAATAATTATTTAATAGCTCTCGTTTAGCTTGCAATTCACGTGGATTTAACCACAACAAGGCAAAACGGTCCACCATCTATAGAAGCATCTTAAAGATTCGCTAATGGCACTCTGCTTTACATCTGCACAAGTTAACCACTATGTGCAGCGGGGCTGCCGTAGCTTTGCGCTTTGCGGAAGCGTAAGTCAGGTCACCGACCTTTCGTTCTATACTTAGAGCAAGTACGAGTCTAGCGGATAACTCCAAGAGTAATTATTGCCTTAACCAAAGGCTAATGAACTCTTCCGTTTAAATCCAAAACTGACTTTATTTATTTTGTCTGCGGCAAAGCCGCCTTAATAAATGTATAGATTTTCCTAGATATATAGAGTAAAATCTAAATACATGCATGGCTACTGGCTACCCAGCAACGTACCGTATTCTTGTTTGGGTGCAGTCACACCATGCCCATCTCGTGTGACACACAC